GATCATTCTAAACCTATATCTATTTTTAGAGAAGGCTTTATTGTCACTCAATGTTATGTATTTATTCCATTCCAGTTCCAGTTTAAGTTTTGTTTAATTCAAATGTAAATACAGCCAAGGTCAGCAGTTACCTTTTAATTTAAGTAAATCCAAAGCAAATCCAATTCGGTATTGGGAAACCCACATACATCTATTTTTTTGGCACCTTCTGTTGAAATCGCTTAACCGTTTAATTTATGTATTCGTGAGATACATTCATCTTGAGCCGCCGATCCAATTTCGCTTGACACATTTACTGGTAAGGAGGGGGCGTGGGCGTCTCCGGTTGGGGTAATTCACCTTGATGGCGATTTTCCACGGGGCCGCGATGACTGCGCAGGCGCAACTAAACTGTAATCGAGACTCTCGCTTTCTACGCCTCTTGATACCGCGCCTTGATGACTGTGAAATTAGACGGCAGATTTGCAGATTGCAGATTGTGGAGCTGGGGACTGAAAGACTACAGATTTTGAAGACCAAAGACTGAAAGAGTGGGGGTGCTGGCATATCGGTGTTATCATAACCGACTAACCGAGCGACTGATTGACTGACTCCGACTCACTGAAAAACTGAAACCTCTTTCACTTTGCATATTGCCGGCGCTGAAATTACAATATAAATTTATATACACGGCATATACGTATAGAAGAAACAATCTTTAATCAGCATTTACGCTTTCATCTTTCACATTTCTCAAAGAGTGGAAAACAACACCAACTGCCATAAACAACAATTGTTGTTGCCAAGCAACCTGTTGACGAGCTTGGTTTTTCTCAGTTTTTTGCTTGAGATACAGATGCTCGGATAGCCGGCTATCTTCAGTGGGCTTTTGGCCTGACTTTGGCTGCAAACTATTTTAATTTGGTGGCAAATTTGCATAGTCTGCATATCTTATGAATTTGTTCGTCTATTTGTCGTTTTTAATTTGGTATCGGTGGCCATAAACATTTACAATTCGGGCTCTTTCTCTTGGCTGCCACACAAAAGATGAAAGCAAGAGTGACATTTAAAGCGGTTCAGCCCAAAAGATTTGGGAATCTTTTGTCTCCTTGCAGCCCTTTTGTTGGGTATTCTTTATTTTAAAAATCTTATGCAATAATCGAAAACACACACACGCCAACGATAATTGAAGAATGGGGATCATGGATATCATGTGGTTTTTGGGCCCGATTTCGGAATGCCATTCACTTGATTGGGAATATCTTGGCAGGAATTGTGGTCACAATCGTATATTGTGTTTGGTTTTTCATTTTTGTGCGGGGAATATGAGTTTGTATTATGGTTTTCCTTATGATGTAAAATAGCCGCCATCAATGAGCTTCCAAAAAATAGCCTGGGAACTTGGGGGAATTTACGATTTCTGAGTTAATGATGTATGAAGTAATCTTTGAAGTAACGTTATGGTGTTTATGTTGTGGGAAAATTGGTTAAAGCTTCTGGGTATATAGTCTTAAACTATACTCAGATCACTAAACTATATTCAGATCACTACTCAAGGTTAAATTCAAATAATTTATTGAAATTGATAATAAACCCATACTTCGATTCTTTTACAAGTTACAAAACTTAGTTCCGCTCAACTATTAAGTAACCACTCCAAAAACCAACGCCCGTAATTACGTTAATTGCCGACTATCTATCATTTCCTGATTCATTATTCATCCGTGGTTATTAATTAATTAATAATTTGAATGTAGAGACGCGGCATGCACTTAAGTGTAAGCAAAACAAAACCGAAATAAATCAGAGGTGAGTAGGAAACTCATCAACAGCTCATTGCCCGCATTTGATTGATAAATATTTTAAATATAGTTAAAGATGTTGTAAGCCATCCATCGCCCCGTGAACCGCATGCCAAAAAACATTCCGCGGCTGTAAGTTATTAGCCAGAAACAAAGTTGAAAACGCAGATTGAAAAAATATGGTCTTTAAAATACCGACAATTTTTACATTTTAACGCCTCGACCGATTTCGCTTTGTCTAATTAATTTTGCTCACAAATCTGCATAGATATCGCCTTTTTAGTTTTAGTTTTTTTTTTTTTTTGCCTAGATTATTTATCAATTTCTATAAAATATATGCAAACAAAAAGCCAAGCCAGTCAGTGTGCGGTTGCCGTTGACTTGCACATGACTTTCCTGACATTAGAAAGTAAATTGCCATGAGGCCACTTGGTCAACCATCTGAGCCATGCACTCCATCACTACCACAACGATAACCACCATCATCTATACAAAAAAAAAAAATAAGCCACAGCAACATTTATAAAACTTTATTATATAGTTTTCTATTGATGAAATGCAAGCGGAGGTGGTGGACTGGGATGATGATGAGATTGTCGAGGTTGTGGAAGGCAAACAATTGAAAGTCAGGCTGGCAAAGTGCTTTGGCTTTATTATTATTAATTGGATTCGACAGGAGGAGGAAAGTCCATTGTCTGACCCTGAGACTGGTTTCCCTGTACTTGAATTTTTATTCGCAATTTTCCAATCGGAAATGCAATTTTCTTTATTGAAATTCGAATGTCTTCGCCTTATAGCGGTCCCCTGGCAATCTAATCTTATCGAAATGGGTTCATTAATTTCTTTTTTTCGAGTGGGCAAAGTGCACAGCGCCATGTGTTTAGGAAAGTAGAATCCCATTCTCTTTGGGCTCGAATGTCGGATCACCAATTAACCAACTCAAAAATTGACGCATTTTGCTGGAAAGTGATTCATTCTCCGATAAGGCATTATGATTTGATTCTTTTTTGTTTATTGATATGGCAAAAAACATGTAAGGCCCCGCCGAAAATGAACGAATTTGGAGTTTTATTTGCTTTAATCTAGATGAGGAAATACAATTTTCATAATTTATATTAACAAAGAGAAGCTATTACCCTTTATTTATGGCCAGTTTATTACTTCCTTCTCCAAAATTCTTGATTGTTAATATTTACTGTTTGTAAAGGTTATTTATATATTAAGTGTTAAATTGGTAGGTAAGGTAATGTAACTCTATTATTGATTTACAATGCTTTAATGAGCTGCTTTAAAGATTTCCTTAACTACAGACAAACACTAGTCTATGTTAAATTTATCTTTACTAATTTGTATTGAATATTGCCTATAGCCCGATATTTTGTTGTCTTGACTTAACTGAGCAAAAGCTAACAAATTTAACCCACTATAAACCCCAATTATTTCAAGATGTTGGCTGATCCTCAGTGAACTTTCAAATTGTAACGCTCGAAATCCCATTCAATAAAGCTCAATCAAATGCACATGTTCCCAGAGAAAAAAGCGTTACGGCTGTCTCATAAATCAAGCATTAATAAAACTCAAATTTGCGCACATTTTGACAGCAAATTCGCAGATGGCAGAGGCATTCTTTTCATTTGAAAATTCTTTGCTAAATGTCAATTAATTATTAACTGGAACCGCCTGCTGCCTGCCTGTGCCTGCCTGCCTGGGAGCATACAATTTATTATTTAATTATTAAGTCGCGGCATGTTCTGTCCGCGTTTTGCCTAAAAGCCCAACTCCTGACTTTTGTCTTCCCCTGAAATGTTACCAGTGCTTGCTCATTTCCTGCAAAAAGTGATGGACAACCCAGACGGAGTTAAAAAACACATCATAATGATATCATGCTGGGCATTCGAGCTCATCTCTTTTATTTTCGTGTGTGCAGCCTTTTTTGTACTATTTTTTCGGTTTATTTCCGAAAACTGTGTTCTGGTTGTCTGACCCGCTAACTTCGTTAACCTGTGGTTAGGTCAAGAGTTTAATGCGGAACCAACACAATGGCGGGGTTAAGAGAGTTAAGATCAAATGCCCGTAATTCATGGGATGTATGAATCATTTTTGGGATTGTATAACTTTTTGTCTTTTGCGGTGGAAATAATTCAGGTAGGAAACTTTAATTACAGAGTTGAAAAGCGGAAAAGGGGTGATTTTTTTTTAAGAATGAAAACCACGTGCCGGGCATTTAATGTTTAAGTCACTTATAGAAGAGTATACATAACGTAAACTAGCTCTATAAGAAAATTCTTGAAAATCCAATAGCATTAGCATACTGCAGAGTGTTATCTCAGCGCAGAAATCAAGTTGATTGCAATAACATTTGCCTCCCCTGGTGGAGTATTTATTGCGGGTATTTAAAGTTTTGGGTGTACCAACCGGTTGGTCAGTCAGTCACGCTTAATAAACTGCAAAGTGGAATTGCTGGGCCATGATATGGTGGATTTATGGCCGCCCCTTTGGCCACCCCGTTTTCCATGGCTTTATTGTCACAGCTTGTAATCAAAAGCCGGCCGGTCAGCAAATCAAACCGAAAAAAAGCAAAAAAAACTCGACTTGGACAGCGGCCAACGGGTAGCAGCAGCGGTGCTGAGTCAACTATTTTTTATTCAGTTGAAAATTGCATTTAATTGTTTAACAAAATGCCAGGCGCGTTATGTGGCTTATAAAGATATGAGTTATAATACAATTGCTCGAGTTGTCCATTGACAATTTTCCGGAGTGCCCCTCCCAGTCGACGTCCCAGTCACCGGTACCACCTGTCCCAGTGTCAGTCCCAGTCCCAGTCCCGCTCCCAATACCGCTCCCCAGTACCGTCGAACCACCCGCCCCCGATATCTGTCTGTCTGCACAACAAGTTTATGATTGCTGAACCCGTTTCCAACTTTTGTTATTTGTTATTTCTGTTACAATTTCTGCCAGCTCTGTTTTTTCTGTCTTGGGTTTGGCCATCAAGTGCGGAAGTTGGCGAGCCAGCCAAGAAAATAAAGTTGAGACTCGAAATGTTTGCATATTTTTAAAATGCAATTGGAAAGGTGAACAATTTCTGCTGTTGTTTGGCTTTCTGCTTAATTGCAATTGACTCGTTTATGATTTCCCCCTAACTGTAACCGAATTTATTGATTGCACTTGTAGTCGTTTATTAATTTACAATATTTAATCTTCGTTTTGTTTACTCAACAGCCTTCGACAACAACCATCACCATCATCATCACCACCACCATCATCATCAGCACACGCCGCTCGTCGTTTCGCATAGAAAGGTAAGTTCAGACCAACGGATTGGTTTTTAACTACAGACATGTATTTCCCTGTTTTTTCGAATCATTTTCCTGGGGTTTTAATGGCTCGTAAAGCCTTTCGGTATCTTTCACGTGGCGGCCAGTTGGTGACTATTAAGTGCCCTGAGATTACAGATTAGAATTATGGCCCGTAAAGTTCACTCAAATGAGTTCATTTCGTGGCCATGTTAGTTGTCTTGTTACGGTTCCGGTTCGCTCTTGAATTAAGCCTCTAATGATTTATGATAAAAGAAATGGTTCTTGGCCGTCAGAAGTGATTTCAAATCAAAGAGCGGAAAAGTTGAAACAAGAACGGGTAAATATCAAGTCGTTAAACGCGTTGACTGTCGCGTAAATGGATTGGTCTTTTAACTGCATTGCACTAATTGGAGTTAAGCTCTTAATCATCGGGTTATATACGATTATATTAGGTTTTTGTTAGTATTCTCACGGATCTTTCGTATAAACCTGAAAGAAAGCCATTAAGTTTATCAGATAATCAAAAAAAGGGAATTGGAATATAAAGGCTAAGTACTAATACAAGAATATAGCAAAAATATAAAGAAACTGCAAGGATTTAATGACTTTTCTAGCTATAAAAAGTCATCACACTCTTCCAATGAGGTCTTAGATAGATATAGGTATAATTCCAATTGATTGGCCATATTAACTTCTCCATTCCCTACCCACCTAACGCCACCACTCCTCTTTTCAATCAGCCCCAATACTCCCCAATACCCCACATGAACACCTATCTCGAAGGCCCGAAGCTGACATCAAATTGAACAGGCCATAAAACAAAATGAGCTACAACAAGTAAGACAAGCTCCCTAGCATAATGTGTGAAAGTGTTGGCGGCCCAACAGCAACTTCAACGATTTTATGGCAATTTTAGCAGATGTTCAACACACGGCCGCACATGCGAAAGTGTTTTTCCTCAAAATAAAAACTAAAAGAAAAATACCCACGAAGAATGCACTTTAAGGTTTCAGTTCCCATAGTCCAAAAAAACCTAAAATGAAAAAAATAGAAACCGAAAAAGGTACAGAAAACTTAAAACGAGGCAAAGCAGCTGAGGAAATGCGCAGGCGCATCGGTGGAGAATTCACATGATGATCGTTAGTAACCCTGTTTGGGGGCAGGCTTGAATCTTCGGCGAGGTAATTAAAACCATGAGCAACTGCAGCAACTGCCGCAACAAGAGGGCCAACTGCATTTAGGCCCAAGAAGATCGTAACATGGAAGCGCCAAGTTTCTCCACGCCTGGAAATTGTTTATGTATCTTTTAGTTTTGCCTCTCGTGGCTATTTTCCCTGCCACACACTACACTACACTACATAGATGCCGTTTTCAATTAAGTGTTGCTGCCGTAATGGGTGTGTGTGAGAAATATTCATGTTTCACCGCTCAATGGAGGTCGCTCCTTAGCTATACTAGCTATATATATATATATAGATATTCATTCTCCCCAACTTGCACAAGGCAATTCCATTGTTTACTGGGTTCATGAGAAATTTCCCGAATGCATTCTTACCGCCATGCTGGGGGTTACCTTAAAATTTCTACACAATTTACGGCCGTCGGAGACCTTATTTAAGTCGGATAGCATACATTCTTTCATAAATATGAATAGACTTGGGGGAATTCTTTTATGAAGAAGATAAGGTTACAGTTGTTAAACACTTCTTGTTCTTATGACGTTTATTATGAATAAACTTGGCTTAAAAGCTTATAATAATATTTATCATAAGGAAATAGTGGACTTATTTTGTAAACAATTTCCCAAAATTTCGATAAAACGCAATGGCCTTAGGAAATTTTTACCAATTAAACCTGCCACCCCAACGTGAGTTCCTCAAATTGCGATCCACTAAATCAAGAGGCCCATCAGCGGCCGAAACGAGCTGAAATTGGACATTATTATACAACAATTGCAAAAATTACCCAAGGGGTGGACTGTCGCTGGTAAGGTCAAACCTCCCCCTCAAAAACGAACAAAAAAATGGGCGTTAAAAGTGCGACTGCAATGCGCAAAAATGTTCATTTGTTTGTTTAAAGCCCCGACAACAATTGAAATTGAGTGGAAAAAACAATTGCCGGAGACCGAAGACTTAAGAGTTAAGAGTGACAGCGCGTGCAGTGACATTTTCCGCTCGAAACTGCACTTTAAACATGTTTGACCTTTGTTTTGGGACCCGCGACTTGGGCCACAGCCATTTCATTCATTCCCATAGTCAAGTTGGATATAGATACATAGATGCCCAAGTTGGGGGTTATGCAATTGCCCAAAGGACCGACAAACGATGCGGAACTTATGGCGCCTATCGTATGACAAAGCAGACATCATCATCATTGCGTATTATGCAAAGTACAAAAATTGATGATCACATATAGCGAATATGCGCGAAAGATAGAAAAGAGATATGTTTATGGATACAAATTGCAGCTGAAAGGCTGGCAGCCCACTAACCGCAGAAGACTTCATCGCTTTTCCGGACTTCACCTCCAACTCGAACGCGAACTCGTGATCTGCAACTAACTGGCTGACTAGTTACCAAGACTCAACTGACTAACTAACTGACTGACTGAATGACAAGCTGTCTTCCTTTCGGGGATGCGGACTAGGAAGTTGGTGGCAAATTTTTTCTGCGGTCTACCCAGCCCACTAAGGTCGCTTAGAAATTTGTAATCTATATCCCAGATAGTGAGTCAAACTGTGATGCGCTTCGCCACACTCCACTGATTACTCAAACCGAGCAAAACAACTAAATAAAACCTTCAAAAGTACGTACCACCATCCCATCCCATCCCATCCCGTCTATAGGGTAAAAGGGCTTGGCCAGCTCCGTTTGTTGCGCTTGCATTGCCATAAATAGCATTTCGTAGAGTTTGACGGGAACGGAAACCAAAAGTTTACAATGCATAGGGGGCATTTCTGTAATTGGTTTATGGATTTCCGATATTATTTGGGTGCGCCACCTAACCGAGGGGATCGAAGTCTCGGAGTTTGACGGCTTTTTGGAGACCGCCAAATAGGATTACCTCTCTTGACAAGCGAGCTTTAATATTTCTTTGGCTCTCTAATTTCCTTTAATTGGGTTATAGGGGCCAAATTGCAAAATACTCCAAAATAGGGCAGGGCCTAATTAAGCTGGATTGGGAGACGTTAATGATGCCGGAAGACGATTTCGAATAATTGGGCATGAAAGGTTTCAATAAAGGTCAAATTGAGTAACATAATTGAACTCTTTCTTAATGTTTTTCTGGAAAAAAAACTAAACTATAAAAGTTGATGAAGAATATATTAGATTGTATAGGTAATAAATTATTATAAAGCTACGGAAGACATAGAATTTTTCACATAAGACACACAATTATTAACTTTAATTGACTTAATCATACCTCACTCAGTTATCTTAAGTTTTGCCTGATACTATTAAAAGTAGTTCTACTCAAACAACAGCACTCTGTAATTTGTTATACCACCCAAGGCTCTAATCTCTGGTGACTAATTAAACATTACAAAACGTAATTCCTTTTAATAACACAAGGTTGTGTAATATGGATAGTAGTAGTAGTAGTAGTATTCATCTCTGTACCTGTTTTAACCTCTATAATTTATTCTCCCGTCTAAAGTCTAAATTCGTTTTACACCAAACAAACAATTATTTCATTATGATTATCATTTGGTTGTCAGGGCTAAGAGTCTCGTGCAAAGAGTTTTCATATCTCCAAAATAGATAACTACACGATGTGCAGAAGCCGTGGCCTAAATTTTCAAAGATATCAGGTGACACATCGTAGGCCAGTGTAATGTAATTCGTTACCAACTTTCAATTTAACTGCAATTGGCCGGAAAATGAAGCGCAGTCTGGCCATCGACTGGGATAAATATTTCACCAGTGAAGTCACTGCCTGGCGATGACCAATTACCAATGCAAACTGCGCGGTGTGAGATCAAGGTTTTGTGAGTACTCTGGGTAAATATTAACTCCCAAAAGCGTGCACAATTTTTTACAGTAAATATTTTGCATGAAATAAGGCTCTCAGGTTTCCTCCTTTCCCGTCGCAAACTCTTTTGTTTTTGTTTTATATTGCTGAAAAATAAACGAAATAAGTCATCGCTTTTTCAGAGCGTGAACAGCTGGCCTACCTGTTCCATTTAACTGGCCCGCCCGTACTTTTATGGGTTCGGTTGGTCCCGGTGTATACTCAAACCTTATGCTCCAGTAGCAGCAGCAACAGAAACAGCAACAGCAACAGCTACTAGCAACACCAGCAACAAGCAACAGTTGTTGCCACTTCCACTTGCAACTTAGCTGGTTGCTGGTTGCTGTTTCTGCTGCCGTTGGCTAGCTCCAAAAACAATGAGTCGCCTCTGGATGGCGACTTGGTTGAGTGCCTCGCCGTTTGTTTTATGCTTCGTCTGGTTCTCTGGTCTTGGCTCTGGTTCTCTGACTCCGGCTATAAGTACGACTCTGGATCTGACTCGCTGCTATAGCTACGCATTTATAATAGGCGAAACATGGCACAGTGGGACGAGAATGGTTTAATGCCATCTTTATTTACTAACAACTTTTAAGCAAAAGTTGTATACTGATCAACTTTTATTTCATGTATTAATTTCTACCTTTTACGAATTTCAATAAGACTTACCTCTTATTGTGCCACCTTGCCCCACTGTGCCACCCGATGCCTGTTGGCTGTTCGCCTTGGTGACGGCGGAGACGCATCGCTCCATGGCCCATTGTTCTAGGGAATCAATCAATGGATGGCAGGCACAGCACCAGAACTGCCAAGAATATGGGGATATGGGGATCGTATGTGATGGGATGGGGATGATGATGACCATGTTGATGACGATGACAACGCGCGCACGACGTCAACATAAAAGTGTCGATCAACTAAACGTTCTCGGGCCTGCGGATGAAGATGATGGTTGAAAAGGGAGTGGGTTTGGATATGGTCTATGGTCTATGGTA